CTTTATCGCCCTTCGCGAAGAACTTTTTGAAACACCTTTTTATAACTTTCGGGAAACTTTTTAACGTCAGTATATTTAACGCGAATCCTAAGAAACAAAGTTCCATGACAGACTGAGATTTAACAATAAAATTAGAGGTTGTGTACGAAAGCTCAATCGATTGCATCAAACGATAGACAGCTGCAACGTCATTTCTAAAATTCTCATGAAAACACAAGCGCAGGAAAAGCGGGCCAGGGCGACCGTAAAACACTACGGAACAATGCGGCGCGGATTCGCAACGAGCCGAAGCGGGGGGAGAGGGGGCTGCATCGTGGAAACCGCGTGCTGTAGGTTATTACGAAACAATGGCTCCGTCTGCGGCAGCGACGTGAGGATGCGGGGAGGGGAGTGGAGGGGCGGCGGCGAGCGGACCGTGGTGCGTGGCGCTGGAAAGCCTCACCAGCCGCTGCACCTGCGCGTACGCAGTTCCCGCTGGCAGGGCGGAGGCGGGGCGGAGGCGGGGGCGCCAAGCACTCGAGGGGGACGAGGGAGGAGCGGGCGCGCGCAAGTCAGGGAATCACAGGCGATGACGGCCACGGGAAGATCTGGGCCTGCGGGGGCCCGAGACGTTGCGAGGCGGATTACGAGGGCCTACGCACATTGCCTGAAATATCACCATACACTCTAACCTCCCCAAAACACGCATCACACTAGGAATGGCGAAACAGCGGCCGAGAGAGCTAGAGGAAGAGCGTTATGAAGCCAGAGTGCAAACTGTTCAACACTACGCTGCAAGTGGAGCCCACCTTCACCACCGCCTTTCGCACATCGGGCAGAATGCAATTGCGCATGGGGACTTACACTTTCAAGGTGAAAGCGAAGCTGTACTATACTACTATATTCAAATAGAAATGAAGACCCGGAGGCATCCAAGTTTTAACCACGAGACACTTACTCGGAAGCGAAGCTCACCGTGTGCAGGGGCTGGAAAAGGGTCGCGGAGCCGGGGCCGTGGCGTGGAGCGCGGGGCGCGGGTTCCCGCGAGCTTCCGGCGCGAGCTGCTTGCGAGAGCGGAAGGAGGAGAAGGGGGAGGAGCAGGGGGAGGAGGAGGAGCAGGGCGACGCGATGGCGGTTTCCGAGGAGCACCTGCGGGATGCGCCATCCGCCCTCCGCCATCCTCCATCCGCCACGCGTCCACGTGCCGCTCGCCGGAGCGCCAGCTGCCTCCGCGCTCTTCCTCTGGCACATAAAGCCGGCACACGCGGAGGCGGAGCGCCCCCAAGCCACTTTCACGTTCATAGAGAGCACTTGAACCATCTCTCCACGCGCGGCTACAGGATACAACTATCTTGCTTCCTGCCGATGGTGATGGATGCGAGATCGTTAAGAGATATGAAGTGCGGAATAACGCGTTTCATAATAAAAAATATTCATCTTACGATACAAAGAAGAATTACTTTCGGGAGCAAAAAGTGAAGGTCTGTATATCAGCACCGAGTTTGTACGATGTCGTTTCGAAGAGTTCTTTAAAGTAATACAATTTTAAAACAAGATAATGGCAAAAATAGTCTATTGTATGGTAAGTTTCGAATGTATGAAATCCTCCATAACCTCTCCCTACCATATTTTGGGAGAGAAGTGCACCGATACACAAGACTTTGCCGACATATCAAACTTCTTGATCGCTGCGAGGTGAGACTATCGCTGGGAAGGATCACGTCGCAATTCAAAACGTGCTATTGTGATGGAAGACGAAATAAGCATATTTTGCTATCTAATCTTTCGGCTGTAGAAATTACGACTGAAGTTTCCGCATTTCTGATCGTTTTGTAATCGTTTCTCCATCACATATGAAGAGGGAGTGCATGAAAATAAAACATTTTCCACACTGTTTCGGAGAACACTTAGTATTCACATGTCAATAAGTAGAACTATAGTTCATTTTACAAAAAAATCGATATTTGCAATAAGAAAATTTACAAATGAGAATTTCTTTCGAGTCTGTGTTTAAAGAGAAAATCTAGGAGAATAGTACTTAAACGAAAGTATTTTTCTCAGGCTTCAGCGATAAAAATATCCTATTGGTAAGTGGGAAGCGTGTAGCAAAAGGATAGAATGCAAAATAGCGTGTATCGTCGGAGTAAAAGGAAAGTGGGATTTCAAGTATGAAATTTTTGCAGGAAAACTTTTATAACCAAACGTGAGCTGTTCACTTCGCGGTCAAAGACTCACTGTTTTACTCTATCTACTGTATCTTCCTTCAACAAAGAGTTAAATAAATTTTCAATAGTTAAAATAGACTTTTCTAAAAATTCCTTCACCTAACTCCAAAATTATTTTTGAAATTTCCACTTTTCTTTTGCATTGTCGACAAGATTTTTTCAATTACATAGCATACTGCATGCGCATAGCGGACGCTCTTGTTTGTGCTACTGCTAGAGTTGTGTTGAAAGTATTCCGTTCTCGTAGTCGAACTGGGGACGGCCGACAGTTGAGATGTTCCTCCATCTTCCACCTTCTACCTTCATTCAGTGTGAAAGAATCTTAAATTCAGTCGTATCAGTCTTTTTGCCAAGTAGCTCTTCTGTATGCCAATATCGAAAGTGAAGTTGTTGAATAATGACAGCCTGCCATTGCATCATTCACGTTTATTCTTACCAAATATTGTAATAAATTTTTTTTCGCAATTTGTATTTTGTTGTTTCTTTAGAAACAATTTCAAGTTTTCTTTTTGACAACTGTGAAATTATTTCATCTTGCACAATTCAATTTCACATTTCACTGCTTTGAATTATGAATGTATTTTGGGGGAGGAATTCTCTAAATACATTTTAAATGTTTTGAAACAAGTCTGTTTTGTTGAGAGTTTCACACGCACACTATTTTTATCCTTTAAAAATATTAGACATTTCTTACTAAATTTAAAAAAATATTTGCTTTCTTTAACTATCATTTTTCAATGAAACTTTTCTAATTTTTAGCAATTAAAAATAAGGGTTCTAATCATTTGGCCTATTTTCCACTAATTAAAAAACATTCACCCAATTATTAAAAAAAATTTAAGTCAATTAGTAAACAAAAATAAACTTTCAGTAATATTACGATTTTTTCAACAATGAAGTATTTAAATAAGATGCGATTCATATTAAGAAAAACAAAAATCACACAAGATTTGTTTAACAGAGTCTCAATAAAAGAAAATTATTTTACTTTAGTTTATATACAAAAACAAGTCAAATATAAAAATATAAAATCTCAAAATATTTACTATAAATATCTCAAAAGGAACTTGATAAATGAACGAAATGCATCAATAACATTCATCTCAGAAAATACACTAGCATAATATATTATAACAATGGAGTTTACAATTCATCTTTAATATTACTCTATACAAAGTTTATCTTTCTAAAGCTATGAACTGTAATTTTTTATTTTTAGTTCCTTTGTGTGTATTCACCTTTTTAGACCAACAAGTCTTACTATACAAACTTTCAAACATTTCTAAAATAACCTATCGACCTGATTCACCGGTAAAATAAAAACAAATTTTGGAAAATTAATTTAAATAAGATACTAGAACTTCCTATGGGGTCAATAGTATCCTGTTAAGGATGGAGATTTACATGCCCGTTTAACCTGCGTGTTTACCGAAATTCCTCTGTAAAACAACGGCGCGAAGCCCTTGCAAGGCCCGGGAGCGGTGGTTGTTTTCCCAGTAGCGCCCGCGGCCTGCGGCTGAAATTGAAGTGAACGCGCGGCGGGGCGCGGCGGGGCGCGGCGGGGCGCGGCGGGGCGCCGCGGAGCGGGGCAGGGAGGTCCCGAGGGGCGTGACCCTCCAATTGAAGCGCCGGCGGGAGGGTGGAGGGAGCGAGCGGGTTCCACACCGCGGCGGATAGCGGACAGCAGGCAGCGGTGGCGCCGAGCAACGGGAGACCGCTCTAACCAAACTGCGACCGCCACCTCCCCGCCCGCCCTCGCCGGCCTCTGTCCGTTCCGTGTTGTCTTTGCTCGTTAGCTGGCTGCCGCCAGCGAAGACGGCGGCGGCGGCGGCGGCGCAGCCGTCACAGGCGGTAGACGGGTGGATGGATGGTCGGATGGATGGATCGCCCGGCCGGACGCCCCCGCGCGCGCTTTGTATGCAGCCCCGGCCGCGGGGGCGTCGCCTGGACGGCGTCGCGTCGCGTTGGGTCGCGCAATCCCCTTCGGGCCAGAGAAGTGGGACGCGGAGAAAGAGTCGCAAGGCACGTGTACAACGTCCAACAACAACGCGTTCTCAATAACAACCGTTTATCTTCTGACACCCGAGCACTATGAAAAAAAAAGGTTGTGTCGATGCCCCTTTCAAAAAGCAGTTTCGAGGCGTTGTGTTATGAATGATTTAAATCCTACATTTGTGGAAAGGAAATGCAATCACCGGACTTGATACTAATTCTGGCATTATGAGAAATCGAGAAACATTTTATTAATATTTAAAAATCTGTACCTGAGCATCCGAATAACGATTATCGGCAAGAAATTTTGTAATCCACAAATATAGTATTTAACACCATGATCTAAGACCATGTACTGGAACAGTTACAATGATAATTTTACTGTTCAGCACATTAGTCCATGTAATGATTTACATCTTATAAAAATCTTCCTAGAAATTCCAGGATTTCTCATTATTACAGAAGATGACATCCAGAAAACGGGCTTTAATGATAATTCAAATACTTCAACAGAGATTTATTAAACATATCTTGTGTTGTTTCCCATTTCACAATCGCAAATCGACAGTTTTATATCGTTGAGCAACGTGTGTATTTGATTATATTATTTATAAAAATAAACGATCAATTCATTTGCAGTTTGCTAATACATTTTATAGTCTGTATTTCCTATTCGAATTATACCTATTGTGGACTTGTAGCTGCTGATAAATTACACTCTTCCACGATTTTTTTCTATCGCTTATCATGATCTGTGAAAAAGCTCTTCTAAAAAAATCCGTCCCTTGCTTCAGCTCTACTCACCTTCGTTGAAAGTCTTCTTCTCTGCCGTGACCAACGGCTGCCTGCTCTCAGGCATGGAGCGATGCGGCCTGTAGTAAGCGGGCTGATAGCCCGAAGGTCGCGGCTTCGAGCCCGGCTTCCCGCGCCCGGGCTGAGCCGCTCGGGCGTACGAGCCAGGCCCGTTCGTGGCAGTCGGTGAGGAGGCAGCGTGGTCCGCCTCACCGTCGTCCTCGTTCGTCGAATACAAGCAGTCGGCATCGTCTCCTGCAACGCGAAGCACCACTCGCATTAGCGGAGCGTTTCTCAAACCGGCTGCCTGCCGCCCGGCTGCTGGGTAGCCAGCGTCTGCGCCGGTTGTGGGGGGAGGGGGGTCGGACACCCCCGCGAGCGCCCGCCCCCGCCACGGCCATTGCCGCCACCCACGCGCTCGCTCGCCCCGCCCCTGCCCCGCCCCACCCTGCCAGGGAAAGCCAGGCTGCGGCTGCGAGTTTGAGAAACGCTGCTTCGTCGACGGTTTTGGAATCGGGGGATTCGCCACAAGTGCATGGAAATTGCGAACGTTGGAGGAACGCAAAGCCAGAAGCTCGGCAAAAGCATGCGGAAAGCTACAGTCAGAAGAAAATAGAAACAAGATTGGGTTATGCACATCACACGACAAAGCTGAAGACGCCTGATTTAGAGAGAATCAATTTGGGCACACAACAGACTTTCACCAACTGCTGAGTGCCACGATTCCTTGTTTCGTCCAAAAGCCTTGGCAATGTCATTCAACTTGTTAATTCTTCTTGTATTTTAGTCAATCATTAAGCAACCATCTACTCTAAATGTCATTACTTCTACTTTAGTGCATGCTTCTTTAGTACAACAAAGCAAACCAAGTAGTGCAAGGGTGTAGCTGTAAGAAAGTGTGCTACTACACACCTGGTGTATACTTCATATTTTTGCAAAGAACTGTCCAATGACAGCTTGATGGTAACAAAAACCAGTTTTGTATTATTATAAGATATCCTGGTGAGCTTCATTTTTTCTTTCTCAGCCAGGATGTCAACAGTAGAAAAGCATTACAGAAATTTTCACGATGCAATAGAAATAGAAAATGCGTAGGACACAGCAATCATTCTTATGAATTTTATGAAAGCAATAATGAACCGGAGATGGTCCTATACAATGCTTATAATATTGCACTGAATCTTTAACATTTGCCAAATTCCATCCCATTTCCATGCGCGATACGGCGCAATGAAGTCGATTTACAAGATTCTTGTGCGACAAGCCGGCAGAGACCTCATTTTGGCACTCCACTCGCGCAAGTGTACAGACGATGGATTGAATAGGACATGCGACAGCCGGAGAGGCGTGTGCCAAGAATTTTTTTATTCGACGCGTAACTTTCGTAGACCGCATGGTTACCGCAGTAGCGAACAACGAAGCCAATGTCTTTCAGCTTTGTACAATTACCGACATTTTTTTTATTCGAAAATTGTTGCTCCCAAAATAAATAGAAGATAATAAAGTTGTTTTATCTTTTTAAACTTTGAAATTGGAGAAAAGCACTTACAAATATAAAGTACTCTCGCAACGCATTTATGTAAATAGTTACGCAGAATTCCTTATCCAAGCTCTAGCTTCTCTAGCTGGTGGGAAGTCGACGAACTCTGCGTCAAATCCTAAAGATTTATTCTCATTCTCCTCAAGCAAAACAAAGGACAAGCGCGCAATTAATCATAGCGGCATGTCTTTTCTTTTGTCATCTTCGGCATTCTTTCGGCAGTGGAATGTATTTTTGACATTTTGGCCTTTTCTCATCTTCACGTGAATAACACGAAATTTCGAAGTAATTTGTACAAAAATTTGTAAGGAAAGGAAATTTTTCATAGACGGGAGAGAGGGAATTCCGTACTAATTAAAATGAAGACTACGTAGAGAATAAATTTTAGTAGGCATATCCAAAATAACCCATGAATTGGAAAATTTGCTTATTCATTTACCTACTATTTATATAATACGTATAACGAAGTTTAGGGTATGTTTAAAATTGAGAATTTTTTGAACAATTATATTATAATACGTTTTATATTTATTTTACTCACATGATTTAGGTACATAGAGTACTCAAATTGTTTCAATGTATCCATTTCTCATCCGAGAGAAAATTCAAGAAAAATTATTCAGTACGAACAAAACGTCCTGCTCCATTTCAATATCTAATTTTAGGCAAAAATTTCAAAACTTCAGGCTGTGAGAGGATCACTCGTAAAAAGATCGAATGTGAAAGTTCTCGATGAATCTACTGAACATTCGAAAACTTCACCTTTCTGAAACGAGAAAATTTAAAAGCATTGCAACCGTAGCCGTATTTCGGAACGAAACCCGGTCGCAGGTGAGAAATCTAGGAATGTTTCAAAAGACCTCAAGGAAAACTGGGCCATCCACGTGCACGACGTGGCTGTTTTGGCAAGGGCGTCGGCTGGCCCTAGGCGTCTCGCGGCTCCTGCGCAGCGCGGCGGAAGAGCCATCAGCGGCGCCGTCGCCGACGAGCTGAATGGAGACGCGCGACGCCTTTGAGCGCCGCCGCCGCCGCCGCCGCCGCCGCCGCCGCCGCCCCCCGAGACGCTCGCCCATTGTCCTATGTCGTAGCGGAGACGGGAAGAGGGCGGGCGCCGCAGCCGCCGCCGCCGCCGCCGCCGCGCGGGCCCACATTCCCGCTGCTTAAGTGCCGGCTCCGTAACCGTTCGTTACGACCCGTAGCGACGCGACGGCTAGGGCGGCGGACGACTCGTGTCGCCGGATTGACAGCTCGCGCGCGCAGTTATTTGGCACCCGACACCGCGGACAGTTAGTGCTTCCTGTTCTCGGGGGTTGAAGCAATGTGGTAAGGTTGCATACCGAAGAAAGCTTACGAAACAACCCCGTGCGTTCACGGTAAAAGAAGAGCCATTTCGATAAAAAAGAATGATGTAATGTCTATATTTAGAGAGTTTAAAAAAAATTCTAAATTACAATTTCGTCACATTAGCCTCCCAATTATTTACTAGACAACCTTCCGTGCTTAGAATGACGAGAAAACTTTTACACGTAACTTTCTATGATTAAAGATGGTCACGACAGGCAAATTTAATATTTAAATTTTATTTTTTATTATGAACTTACAAAGCACACATGAAACTTATTAACATGAAATTCCCCACCAGAAGCGCCACTCGAAGCTAGTAATGGTTATTTGAGCTTTCTGACAGAATTGAGAGAATTTATGAAAGAAACACTTTTCGAAATTACTTAAATATTCTATATATTTCGTGACATACGTATTCTATACAGATCAATTATTTGCATGCTTTTGTAAAAAGAAAATATGATTTCAGATTTCATTGCCATTTCTTTTTTCGTTTGAAGCGACCCCGATTGTTACTTGCGTAGCAGTTTAAAATCTCAGGTGGTAGTCTACTTCAGAACATTTTAATGTTAATAAAGTGCATTACAATATGTTATTTGTGACGATAAGTATTACAAACAAACTGTCACATTGTCATATTGATTTTACGCCATTATTGTTAAAGAATTATTTTAGATTGAGTAGTCAAACTTTTGAAGATTCAAATGACCAGACATCGTCGTAACTACAACTGAACGCAATAAATCTTTCTACTGACTAAATAACCAAGGAGTTCAATTGTATCATAAATCATCACTAATGTGTTCTGATAAGCCTTTTTTTCTCTGTAAACAGCAATTGTGAAACAAAAAACTTCGCCAGAAGTCTGCAAACAGGATTAAGTGATATGTTACGGGAACTATTTAATATTGTTAAAACGCAGTCTTAGCCCCTTTTCCTAGCCTATTTCAAGCTTTCAAAAATAATCTTACAATCACTTTTCACTGTGATTTTCTGAACTAACTGAACCACTGAAGTTCACAAGTTTCACTTTCACAAAATTACATTTCTTCCTGGAAACACATTTTACCATTGATTCAGTTCAATTACACTTTAGCAACGCACCCCATTTTCAAGCGAGTTAGTATCGACTCCGGGCGCGCCAACTCTAAATAACACTAGTCCCGTAAGTTAGTGCATGTTGCTCCACGCGCGTTCGTGCAGGTGTGTGTGTGTGTTCCACTCTCGGTAGAACATGAGATCCGGCGCCGTCGCACACTCAAGATTTCCTCCCACAAATATCCTCCCAAGCGAGGCACCGCCCCAGCCGGGAAAAGCTCAAAGCTCCCATAAAGAATTCTGTGTGTATCATGTAGTGTGATGCACCTGTGTGTGTGTGTGTGTGTGTGTGTGTGTGCGTGTGTGCGCGCGCGCGCAAGGGTGAGAGGAGGGGGCATGGGGGACGAGAAGGAAAGGTCGGTCCGAGGTCCATTTGTTAAGGCACTGCTCGAGGCATCGTCTGGTATTGATCAGAGCTGAACGCTGAACTCCCGGTGAGAGCTGCCGGCCGCTAGAATTCTCCTCCAGACAGAGATAGAATTGGACCCAGCGGGCGGCGCGGGTAGGGCGGCGTGCATTCGCGCCGCTTCGCACGGAGCGACGGGGCAGCGTGATGGATGGCGCCGTGACGCAACGTCCACGGACCTCTGCTGACGTGGGGGCGGAGGCGGAGGCGGGGACGGGACGCGCTAGCCAGCGGCAACCTACGACACCTCGGTGGGGATGGCAACTTTACATCGACAATACAAAGATTTAAAAGCATTTCGCTTTCATTCCTTAATTTAAATATAGTTTGCTATTAATTAATGCGATCATATTTTTCTAATAATCTAACCTTCATATATCAAGTCACGTGACTTTCCTAATTCTATGGTACAGTCATTTCTCACTGTTTTCTGCCGCTGGCTTGTCGGGAATTGTCACGGTAATCGAAAGTAGTAAAAGTCATGCTATTTGTGAAATTCAACACTTTTTTTATATATTTCCTATACTTCAGAAGACAAATATTTAATTCTCGTAAAATTTTGAGGAAGAATTACTCGCACCTATGAATGTATAACTAATAAATGCAACTCTAATAAATGATTTAGATGTAATGAGCTGCTTTCTCTTATACTCTTCTTGAGAAACTAATTTTATTCATTTTAGTTTATAGCACATACATACGTAGACTGCTTTCCGAACGCCCTCCTAGCGTACGTTTTCTAACTATGGAGATCTAACGGAATATATTTTAACGTTTCTTAACACTATTCTCCAATTTAATTAGGAACACTTGTCATTATCATTCATATGTTAATAGAATGTGCCGAAAATAGCACGGCCCTCCCGC